TTTGATTACAACCGCTGCGAAATGTGTAATTATTTAATCGAGTTCCGCTTGGGGATGACGAATTGTTGAGTAAATATCACACAACATTGATGATCCTAAAAGTTATTCACCGAACTCTGTTTTGCTTTTGTTTAAATAAACCATGCACACTCACAGTGTAGTTTTCCTGCCACCCATCTGTACTGTATTTGCAAAAAGCAACAGAGCACAATGACCTCATTACAGTGCGCACGTGCACCAATAATTACTAAGGCTAAGGATAGCTTATACAGTAGAGTGTAATGTGATGGTCTATTTGGAATCACGCGTCTCGCATTAAGCGTCTCGGAGCAAAGTGCTTTGGACGCGGTTCGTCGACCCACCTTTTTTCGCGAAGACAAACGCTACCGGCCGTTCCTCCCAAATAAATATTGCAGTTAAGCGATTTGCAGCACCCCCCCCCCACTCTGCCCCCTATATTGTTCTTGACCATTTTTACTCTACCCTGGCGTGCTGCGTTGCAGCGGTGCGATCGTGCAAAACTTATTCCGGGAGACGCAACGCCACAATGCATCTTTGGATATTTTTTTTTGGGGGGGGTGGTTTCGCTGCCGAGATTTTAACGGCAAAAGTTAATCTTATTTTAACGCAGCGCAGATGTTGTCGATGAAAACATTGCGAAATAAAGTCCGCATTTGAAAGCAAATCTTCATTTCATTAACGTCGTGGAAAAAGATCATGCTTGTTTTAAATAGCAAATGATACTAACCTCCTGTCCAGATTTTATCCCTGCACATACAAATTAGACGTAAAGTATATATTTTTTAAACATCCCATCCTTTTTGCACAATCACTCCTACCCAGAAGGCCACATGGCTGAAGGGATATGTAAAACACATTTGAACTTGTTTTTATTGGATGGACAGGCATGTGACAGAGGAAATGTTATCTGCTTATTTTGTTACTGATATATTCTTCACAATGACGCAAGTTATGATTTAGTGTTATGCATTATACATACACAGTAGTTTTGCAGAGACTTAGGACATATCTAAGATAGAGAAGAAATCGTCTGGCAGTTCACCAGCATTTGTTTAAGCAAGCTGTGATTGTGTTGACCAGACAGTGAATGTGGAAACCGGTCCTAAGTATGCTTGTATTAAACCAATCCTGCTGACGAAAAATAACTCCCAAAATGCTGTGTGGCTGATGGAATGTGTAGAAGAGAGTTGTGTTATTATTTAGGGGGACATATATGGGAAGAAGTTGTGTATTGTCTGCTTTTTTGGATTTGTTTTGTATAACTTCCACAATCACGCTGATTATTATTTCGTGTTAAACTTTTTTGCTATAAAATTGTTGGACTTTTAAATAAACTGCCTCTTAACACAATTTAAGTTTACTCCCACCTACTCACAAAGCACACAGGAAAACACGCAATCTACACGGGTGCATAAACATACACAAATGCATTGTATATATTATAGTGAACATCTGGAAATACATTTGTTGAGTATCGCACCGTAACATTGCATGCAGCACTGTGATGATGCACGTGGTGTCCTACAGTGTTGAATTGAGATTGGCAAATGTGTAAAACACATTTCTTCTCAGCCCTAGTCAAATTGCTCGCGTGAAAATGTATAATACTGTACTGTGATAGGACAGAGACCTGAACATGTATCATGTAATAGCTATTATTGAAGTGCGCATTGTACACAAATGTAAATAATGTATAGTGACAGATGTAAACGTCACAAGATGGTAAAGTTCAACTAAAGTATTGGAGTATAAGAATGTGTCCCGTCGATATTAATCTTCTGTACAATGTTTTTGTAGCTTTTATAAAATGTTGTGGATTATGTGTTTACGTGATAATGAGACTTACGGCTAAAGAGAGAGGTTATTATGTTGGTGGTAATTGCAAGGATTATTACATTAATGGAGACTAAAATAATGGTTATAGCACTGTGACATGTCATCTGAGCGGCAGTGTATCATATAGAGTACTGTAGTTTGTAAAAAGACTTGATATTTAAAAAAAAAACACATGCACACATATCAAGTGTGGCAGATTCCGCAGTGCTGATAATAATTCGGTATGCCGTAACATCAATAAGTAATTATTGCACTCTTAACCTAATTAATTGCATAGTGTTTTCACGTTAGGCTGCAATAAATGCAAAGCTTTTAATAGCTGATATGCATGGTTGTGAGATAAGCTATGTCCAATAAGTAGTTCACATAAGCTCTTTCTGGCATTATAACCTTGGGCTACTTTCAAAGAAGACATGCTTGGATTCAAGTCATATATTTAGAAAAAGTATAGGTTCAGCCCTGCAATGTCTTGCACATGCCACTGCTGGCAAAAGGACCTCTACAAGTGTCAAGTGGGTACTCGACCTACTTTTCACACCGGCCAAATGTCTTAGAACTAAGCCCATCAATAAACTCTTTATTGAGCTTCTTGAGCGAGCTGGTCTGGGTTGAGCAAGGCCGTAGGTCCATTTCACCAAGGAAACTGAAGAGTAGAGACTATCGATATTCCATGTCTTATCGCTATAGCATAAACTACAAATATTTAAGAGCGCACGTTAAAACAAATAAAACGAAATAACAAACACAATTAAGAAAATATAAGAAAAATATAACCTTAAAATATTATCAATTATTCTCATACTGTCTGGGACACTGTGATGTTGTTACCCATTTATACTGCTGGGTGGACAGAGGCAAGGAGATACAAACAAAAATAACTTGATTGTTTCAAACGCGGCGCTAGGAGATCGAATTCGAACCGGCGACCCCTGGGGTTGCCAACCCACTCTGCCAACCATCGCACCCGTAGCACCTATTATACATGACTATACATACGACACATATAACATTCCTTAATCACTGATGATTATTCCCCCCCCCCTCCGCCCCAAATAAAGGCACAAATGCCACAAAACAAAGTGTTGATTCAAACTGTTCCAGATGTGTATTGCATTAATTCATGAGCAGACGTGTACCTGATATGATATGGCCCTAAAATAACAACACAAATTTTGAGATAAACACCATTATGCAAAGTGATGCTACATTGCACGGCCTTATGTAAAAAGAGGTCAAATACGTCTGATTTATAAAGTGCAATACAGCATTAGACTGTACATATCCCTCTGGCATCTCTCACACGCTGGGTTGACAGGCAGAGGCACTATCCAGGAAAGCGTGGGTGCTTTAGCTTAGACACGTTATAGCACAGAGGTCACACAATATTTCCACTCAGTTCATGCGCACTTTGAATCAACATCTAAGGCACTTGGTTAACGTTTTGTTATTGTGTGGCCATTTCGGCCTTAAAAAAAATTTAGAATGTGGTTTTAACTGTCATTTAAATATAGGCCACAGATTAATATCCCACGAAAGCAAGGCCTCTGTTGACCTACAAACACTGACATACCGTATTCTCCTGCTTAATGTGTTTTTTTTGTTGAATTGAAATTCTGCCAAAGGAAATATTTTAAGTTTGTTCAACTGGCCATTGAAAGTAATATTACACATACAAAGATGTCAGTGTTGCATCATGAATAAAGAAAATGTTTATACTGGATAAATTACATTAGTTTAACACGTAGGCTTTCGCGACAAATATTATTCATAATAAAGGTTTTTGGGTTAGATCGCGTTATTTATAAATGTGTCGTAACCCTCCACCACCCATCACGGCCAATCAGCAGGAAGTGTCACGTTGACAAACAACAAATAGTTCACTACTTTAGCCCACCGGTGTGTTGAAGAGTGAATCCACAACATTTACAGTTTGAGTACGACGTTTCGCTGGTAATTACATCCAGCACCATCGGGCAATTCGCCAGAATGGTAAAGCCCTCACTTGCTCCCAGTCTTAAATAGAGCAGCAGGGTGACGTCATAAGTTAAATGACGACGTCACCCTGCTGATAAGTTAAATGACATCACCCTGCTGCTCTATTTATGACCGGGAGCAAGTGAGGGCTTTACCATTCTGGCGAATTGCCCGATGATGCTGGATGTAATTACCAGCGAAACGTCGTACTCAAACTGTAAATGTTGTGGATTCACTCTTCAACACACTGGTGGGCTAAAGTAGTGAACTATTTGTCTTTTGTCAACGTGACACTTTTTTGCTGATTGGCCGTGTCGGGTGGTGGAGGGTTACGACATATTTAAAAATAACGCGATCTAACCCAAAAACCTTTATTATGAATAAATTACATTAATTTCTAAGGGACAAAAATATCTTGATTTTAATGTTATTTAAATGATACTCATCATTAACATCAGATGGAAAATAAAATCCTTACCAGAGAGGACATGTTTTAAAATGCCAATGTGCAAAAGCAGTTTGTGATTGTAGTGCTTGATTCGAAAATGTTCATTTAGAAAACATTTTGTAAACCTACAGTTGTTTTCCTTATTTTTTTCAGTGCAACATCGAGTAAAATTACAATGTGTACATTGTCAAGGAATGGCGTTGCTTTGTATCTCTAAAAACTCTACATTTCACACCACTAGCGTATGATGTGACACAAATACTGTAGTAATGTGTCAATTAAAGTGGGCTTTAGTCAGTGAAATACGTTACGATGTTAAAGGTTTTAGTTACATTATGACAGAAACTGATATATTCGTTTTTGAGTTCATTGTTTTCTTGTTTGCGGGTGTTGCTCATCAGGTTGGGTGGATGAATGGACACAGTGTGTATGGGTGAAACCATGCTTTCATGTCTTAAACCTGGAAGACGTTCTACAAGTGTCCAGGATTTAACCTGGAAGACTTTACATGCGTGCGTGGACATCCACGCGTGTGCGTGCGTTATGTGTGTATACGTTTCGCCCCAAGAAGATCCTTGCGTGTGCGCGGGCTTTACCCTGAAGAAACGATGTGCGAGTGCGTGTCTTCATCCTGGAATGCCTGTGTCTGCGCACGTGAGCACGCTTTACCACCCAAAAAAACGATATATGTGTGTGCGCGCGCGCGTGTAAAAGTTATCACCGTGGAAGAAGCCCTTGGCACGAAGGAAGCTGACGCTGAGGCGGAGGATGGACAGCTTGTCCAGCCGGGAGATGACGTCCTGTTGGAAGGGCAGCAACCCAGCCAGCCGTTCCAGCTCTGCATTCAGGCGCTCGCGATGCCGCTTGGATGGGTTAGACTTGGCTCCTTCCACCGGCACCAGCTTGGTGCTGCAGGCACACGAACCCGGCAAAGGAGCGTCGCTGGCTCAGGACGATGGGCGTGTGACGCAGAGGCAATGCTGAGGCACAGTGGCACATGCCCTGTGAAATCCGCCAACTTTGGAGGAGCAGGAGGTTTGGCGGAATAAGCAGCGACGTGAGTGACACCCACCCTTCAGGACTGTGGCGTTCAAGTTGGAGTATGTGTGGTTATCGTCATTATCATCGGCCACTGTCTATCCACTGGCCCGATGAAGGGCCTCGCGACGCTGTAGCCAACGCTCACGATCTAATTCTGTTACCATCCATCTTCTTGCATATTCACCGATCTCATAGCTCCATCTCCCCAGCGGTCTTCCTCTTGGGCACGTTTTATCCTTTGGCTCGTACATCGGCCATTATCCCATCACGTGGTGTGTTCTGCCCAAGCTTATTCACTTTTCTTATCTGTCAAGATGATGAACCTGTGTTTGTTTCTCTAAAGCATGTTTCCATTTGTCCGTCTCCCAGTGTAATTGCTCGCAAGCATATCTCTACACTTCGTTGTGTTGATATCTCTACATATATAAGTAATTAACTATGTTCACTGTGGCCAGTGGACATTTGATGTGGCCTATTGAAGGGCACACAAAGTAGACTTTCGACCTATCTGTATGGATTGTTTTAATTTTTCTGGGCATGCTGATTAAATCCCCCACACACTCAATACGATTTTAGTTAAATAACCAAAGTAAGTCCATTCTAACACCGAGTTTCAATAAATATACTTAACTTTTTTAAATTTCATTTGACCAAGGATGAAATGTCGAGGTCATTGTGAAGTTATAAATGAGCTACCACTCCTCACATATAAGCCGGTCCCGATAATAGGTTAATGTTATTGATAGTACAACATAGTCTACGTAGCTGCTAACCTTTGAATATTCCATGCCATGACTTCATGAGAAAGTTTTTTTGCAAAACTTATTTTAAAAAAAACCCTCACATATTATTGATTGTTGTCAAAGGTGTCTCCATCAAAAAACGAACCCATTCCTCACATATATAACATGCCAAAGGTCAAGTCAAAATGCCTTCTTACTTAAGAAACCAACGGGGCAGTGTTCATTGCCACTGATGGCACTGAGCCAATGAGTTGGAAATTCCACATTTCCATTGGCGGCCCACATTGTACAAAAAGCATATATATCTCCTCAAAGAGACACAATACAAATTGGGTGAAAATATGTAAGGTTCATAACAGGCCATTGCCCAAAACGTTGCCGTTTATGTTATATTTCCTCATGTTGAGCTCTTTTTTTTTAATGTGCTTGTGACACCACTGCCAATGCAGCATCACAATGTTTGTGTTACTTGGAACCGTGGTCAATAATTAGGGATAAATGTGCTGACTGTGGTTGAGCATGACCGCGATTGGGAACGTCTGACCTGTTGATACAACCTGCAGAAAACCAACCTTCAGGGCTGAGGTGGCCTACATTCGACAGTTCACCAAGTCGTGATTGCTAACCAGCAGTATATGTAAACTCTACACATTTGTGGATTATGTGAATAGCTGTATAATCTTGATTTAGAGCTTTCGCGACTGCAGGGATTCATATTCTTGGTTCTTTCGGTAAAGTCACGTAGAAGGGAAACAATAAAATAAAAATATTATTATAAAAATATTATTATTAAACAATAAAATAATACAAAATATTATTATTTTATTGTTTCCCTTCTACGTGACTTTACCGAAAGAACCAAGAATATAGTTGTATAATCGTTTAGACGATGCAACCACCATTTGTTAATACGCCAAACATGTGACATACTGTTTCAACAATTATTGTATTCGCATATAGACCGCATTGCACAAGTGAATGATGTATGCATTCTATGAACACGAATGCACATGTGCAATCGGTGTTTCGTATGTTTACATACTGCATTTCAAATGTTTGACGTTATGCCTAAAACGAGAGTGCAATACAATTTGAGCAAACAATACGTTCGAGTTATTTGCAGCGTACAAATATAACGGCGCACAAAAATAGCTTTCCTGCCCGAGGAGCGAGCGGTCAACGTAATTTTTGCAACCCAATACCTACGAGAGCACCGTTCTCACGGGCGTGTTCACACCACGCTCCTTATTGCACTATAACCGCAGCGATATCAACAACGCACCGTCCGGCGGGCGCTGAGCGAGCCACCTCAACGTGGCACCGTCAACGAAACGTCTTTTGACCATTTTCGGCCACGCCGCGTCGGCTGAAGGTGCTGCAGCCATCGACGGCGTCCGTGGTTGCTGTCGAGAGGCGCCACGCATGGCACCTCGAGACTGCAGCAAACGAAACGTGCCTCCGCACACCGCCCTTGTCGTGCGCGACGTTGCGTCTCGACGCAACACACGGAGACTAAGTGCTCTAAAGTATACAACAAGAACACGTGCTGTAAAGTATACAACAACAGCAGCAGCAGGAGGAGGAGGCGGAGGCTCCGCTCATGTTAAACATGCACAGCTGAATCTATTACGGGCACCGCACATCACATGCATGTTAAATCACCACGTATGTCAAGTGCGCGCGTGTGTACATGTGCGCGTGTGTACATGTGCGTGTGTATACATGTCCGTGCGTGTGTACATGTGCGTGCGTGTACATGTGCGTGTGTGTACATGTGCGTGTATACGCGTGTGCAACGCGTGCCGTCGCATTCCATTGCGTGAAACGCCGCGATGATAACGAAGTGTGCATTCGAAAGTGAACTGGGACGACGACGATGACGATGATGGTGATGATAACCGCGGACACCCAAACCCACCACCGTACCTTCGCTGGACAGGCTTTCTCCTCTTACGTCCGGCGTACATAATGGCCAAGGGGTGCAGAGAAGGAGAAGAGGGGTCGGTCGGAGGGGCTAGGAGGCCGGGCTCTCTGTGTGTCTGTGTGTGTGCTGGAGTCGGCGGCTTGCTCCCAGGGATGAGTGAACGGACGGAGGAACGCGTAGGTCTCACGCGCGCGCGAGCGTGCTGCGGAGCTGGTCAGGATTTTAAATGCGCTGCGCTTGAGCCTCCTCTTCTCCTACTGCATCCAAAACTAACAAGCCCCCCCCTACCCCCCCTACCCCCCCACTCAGCCAGCGAGCCAGGCGACGAACACGGACTAGCTGTTATTTTCTTTTATAATTATTATTATTACCGATTAGTAGTCAATTTAATACGCGCGCGCGTGCGCGTATTTGCGTTTAAAAAAAAACCTGCACGCTGCTAAAACCAAGCGGCAGCGGGAGGAGGCGTCGCGCGCGCAGGAGTCGGGGATGAACGATGATGGCTCAGCCGAAGTGGCCACTGGCACGGAGAGACAGAGAGACAAACACGAGGAGAGCGGGTGGTGGACAAGGCAAGAGCAGACCCCCCCCCCCCCCACTGGGCCCACGATGGGACGGAGAGCGCAAAGAGTCCAGAGTGGGGAGGGGTTGTGGTGGTGGTTGGTGGTGGTGGTGGTTGTTGCAAGCCAGCGCCGAGAGTTTGCTGCCCGAGCTGCCCGAGCGAGTGACGGGAGAAAGCCGTGGGGTTGCCGTGCCAGTGGGAGCACGGCGGGGGTGGGGGGGATGCTGAGAGAGGGAGGCTCGGTCAAGGGGAAGGGCGAAGGCGGTCTCCGCTTGTGCGAGTTAAGACGTGGGTGGGTAGCAGGGATTTTTCTGTTGTTGCTTACTTCACTTCCACTTGTACAGCGCCATCTCCCCTCTCTCTCTCTCTGTACCCCCCCCCCCCCCCCCCCCGTGCGAGTAACTGCGATCGCCGTAAGGCGTGCGAAGGCCCTCTCAGCCACGGTCACGGACAAACCCATTTCGGAGATTAATCATGCACGGTTAACGTTCTGTGCGTGCCCCAGCAATTAAGGACCGCTGACCGTAACGTTTCACAGCAGCTTTAATTGAGTTGAAGCTGCCAGTGTCAGTTATTCTAATAGGATTGTGACCGGCGGGTGAGTGGGGGGGTGGGCAGTAAATGTTTGTCAGCCGAGGGAAGGAAGAGTGGAGAGTGCCGTTTGAAGAAGCATCTGATTGTCTTACGAGCGAAGCTGGTGTGAACTGACTTGTTACGTCATGAATGTATCAATGTTCGGTTGCTGCGCAAGTAAATGGTTGGAAGTTTGGGTGTGAATTTCAAAGAACCGCCAAGGCCCCTGGAATTTGTTGTTAACACTTCTCTAGAAATGCCTGTTGAGATATATATATGAACGCAGTGCACAATATGTAAATAATAACGCAGTGCACAATATGTAAATTATTAATACATCATCTGCCAGGCTTCACAGATGCTTGTAATATTCTGGCATCTTTGCATGGATAGATCCAAAAGAAAGATTTTAACATGAAAATAGCTTCCCGCCAGGCTGCCTTCCGGTGCCAGCTTTCATCACATTTCACATGCCTGAGACTGTGCAAAATGAAATGTGTAACTTCAAAATTGCCTCGTGTGCTTAAAACCGGGCAAAAATGCAGTTTGGTGAAATTTGTATCTACTTCCTCGATATATATATTTGTTTTTATGCCACATAGCTGCTTTCTCAAAATTAATGCAAAAAATAATTTTGAATATCATCTTGCGTATAGTTTAGGCATCCGCATTGGACAATACAGAATTGCAATGCTCATTGAAATTGAACTGCAATGTTAAATTAAACAGGTGATAATTGTAAAAAAATGGTATGAAGTTCAAACGATATTTCATTCCGATTTATGCAAAGAAGGCTACTCGTTTCATAATTGGTTATTTACCAAAAACTAATGTACAACACATGACAAGAGTTACAAGTACATGTAACTAAAGAAACCCTGGGAAAATATCAGCCGTACATTTTGCAACGTACACCTTAATTAGGACAGGGTTGGCTTGTGTTGTTGGCACAGAGAAATGGTTTTCAACATAAAGCACATGTTTCTATTGTCGATCTAGTTCATATTATGTAACTGCCTACGCCAACTACTAACCCCAACCCTTTCACAAATGTGCATCCATTCATTCGTCTGACCTCCTTAAATTCTTGTCTCGTCCCATTAGTACTGCAGGCATAACCACAGCCCCACCTGCAAGCAATCTATTTGTCTGCAGGCACAGGCAAATCACTGTTCAGATGTTCACTGATACAACAAATGTGTATCTGTAATCACAATGCATCCAACCACATCACATCCAACCCCAGCAGCTTCTAAATACTTATAATTCAAGTACAGGAGGTTGGTTGCTTCCGTAGTCAACATGCTGCCACAACTCTGTTGTCCAGCGAGAATGTGGCATATAGAATCAAACCGTTGCCACATTATGAGCAGTCTTGTTTATAGTTAATGTTCAGAATATTAATGCAATAGTCTATTTGTAATATGGTTTAATTAATGGTGATGTAAATATTATATATATCAAAAAAGCTGCATTACACCACTTCCATTATTTCTGAAGGTGATGTAATAGTGTGTGACTAATATTTCAACCTATTTTTCCATAATTTAACTTGTTTTCCCATAATACCACAATGCACAGTTAATTCACGACTGACGTAGGACCTCATACCCCATCAAGCCCTCAAGTAACATTGAGGGTTCTAAATAATTGTCTTTCCACACAATAGTCCATACATAGGTTGTTGTGCATTGTTTGCTTGAGAACCCACTGATACCTAATGCTTCTTTAGCATCAGCTACCTGAGTGGCTAGTTACAAGGAAACAGGCAAGATGGTGTGACATTTGTTTGCAGTTAATGTTTAAATGATAAATGTGGGGGTTTAGGTGGTGCCACAGGACCACACTTTCAACCCCTTACATTTGATATAATGAATGGGTTTGTGGTCTTTGTTTTACTTTACAATTAACCAATTTGAACCATGGCATTTTAAAATGTTCAGAGCAACTCTGGAAAGTATGAGGTATTATTTCCCTGATGGCAGATACACACATTTGTGTGGACTGGCAATGAAATCCCACATTTCCATAATCGCCAGGCTTTTCACCTCTTCTCTCACTTACCAAACACCCCACTTAAAATCCCACTGGATTAACCTGAACAGGTCCTGCCCTTTGATTTGTATACGTAACGTAACAGCAGCACGTATCACCTTTAGGGAGATTTTAGAGTAAAGTTGAGTCAATGCTTCAAATTTAAATTAAAGTCTGAGACATCTGCAGAAGAAGAACAACTCAGGTAAGGCTCACGATGGAAAAAGGTTCCCTGTAGAATACGGAACATGGCTCCATGGCCACCGGCAACAGTCTCGGCTCAAAATCTCTCCTGCCTGACGTGATTCTGGCCAGAAATAGAACGTTCAACCCCAGGAGACTTGTCACTATCGGCTCAAAATGGGCCCGACAGCAGGCTTCTAATTCCAATGGCAAGGCCATGGTGCTCTTGCTGCCTTCCTCGGCTGCTTCTCCCAGCACTGCTATACAGAGCAACGCTCGTATCAGCTGGCGTAACCCTAGGGCATATTTCGTGTGGGGGGGGGGGGGTCATACGAAACTCAAGTAGCCACTGTCTTCATGGTTATCATGAGCCTTGGTCAAGCCACTGCTGGATGAAGGTGCTCGCCAAGCTGTCACCATCTGTCATGATGCTGCAAGTGTAAATAATCCACTGAACACCTGTGCACGTAACTACTCTACCCATCGACAACCATGTTCTGAATTTTATTAACGTCTTAATTCTCAAAACATTGGTTGCCACTTGCCTGAACATGCGATTGTGGCAGAGGAACCGTTGAAGTAGTCCAACGTCTGAGCATGATTTGGCCTTAAGACCTTCTCATGTTAACTTTCCCAGATAAAGGTATTGAATCATCTACATATCTGATGTTGATTTCCAAAAGCTTATCAACACATTTTCTTTATAAGGACTCACTTAATAATAGGGTTTTTCCCCTTTTTTTTCTGGCAACAAAACTGAAACCTTTTTACCAGTATTCATGTCTGCATTAACCACAATACCGGCAGTCAAAATGCAAACAAAAAACATGCTATGACAATATATGCATTGTCCTTGAAACTGATTGGTCCACACCAAGGGACGGCTTTCTTTTGAGCCTCGGCCCAATTGGTGCTCGACCACATGAAAAGGGGAAAAACCCTAGGGGAAAAACTCTATTATTACATTTTGGTACTGGAAAAGGAGGTCTAATGATGTAGATGCTCACCCCGAGCCCTCATTACTTTGATAGTGCATTGTCTTTGAGCTGTACGCCTTTTGGCGTCATCTGGTCGAGCACCAATTGGGTCGAGGCTCAAAAGAAAGCCATCCCTTGGTGTGGACCAATCAGTTTCAAGGACAATGCCACATATATTATCATAGTATGTTTTTTGTTTGCATTTTGACTGCAGGAATTGTGGTTAATGCAGACATGAATCCCTGTAAAAAGGTTTCAGTTTTGTTGCCAGAAAAAAGGGGAAAAACCCTATTATTACATTTTGGTACTGGCAAAGGAGGTCTAATGATGAAGGACTAACTTGGTAAGGTTAATTCCTGCGATATTTTTCATCCAATGGCAGGGCCACCTGTCGGCGTTTGACCAGGACAGTCCAGGAATTGGAATCTGTGCCATGCGGCAGGAATTGATGTGTACCGAAATCTGGAACCGGTGTCGTGTTGAACTTGATTAAACTGCACTGCACAGCTTTGATAGATCCAGGCTGAGACATATTGTCCGTGTTTGTTCTGTGGAAAAGGTTGCAAGTCTGGCCAACGGGCATTCAAGAGACACATTTCAGACACAGTGGACACATGGGCAAGCGTCACCTTTTTGAAGGCTCACTAAAGAGTCACGCTGATAAACGTTCTACTATGAACACCAATAGTGATATAGATGAGGAGACCACAGCTAAGCAACGGTGCCTCGCAGAGGTCTAGTTACTCTAATGCATTGCCATATTGTTCCTGTATTTAACCCTCAGTCGAAGAGTGTGTTTTACAGAGGTCAATTCTTTAAGATTAAATTATTTGGAAACAGTTTTTTTTCATTCTTATCAAAATTGATTGAACCATTTAGGGTTTGTTGGATTTTGGTAAATATTCACATCTCGGAGAACACTACAGTATAGCATACACGGTATAACTAATTAGTGTATGATGCAGAGTGACCCCACAATTTTACCACACTACCTAGTGACTGAACTGATGTAATTTTCCATGTCGCCAATGAGCCACCAGCTAACGAGTTTCAAGGATTGTTTTTTACAACAGCACCCGATCGAGATTCAGATATTTCTCTTTTCTCCGTGGCAAGGTTTTTAATTAGTCCTTATGGCAAACATATGTGCGTGATTTAATGTATACTATCTAATTATTTAAAACCGTTTCTGAGCACAATAAATGTCAAGCGGTCAGCAACAAACATCACTCACTCTCAAAGTGTCGTTGTAGTAGTGAAAGTTAAGAGTTAACACGTTTGTTAATTTGAGGGGGGGGGGGGTGGTTATAAATGCTTGGAAAAAGAGACGATGGGAGGAAATTCCAAAGTTAAACAGTGCGGGGCAAGGAAGGAGAAATTAGTGATTTGACCTGCGGTGTGGTTGGTTGAACGCAATGTGGATGAGACGAAACAGTCTGGGGGAGACCAAGCCCTCGACATTTGTCCGAACCGAC